ATATTTTTCAATTTCCATAATATTCTCTAGACTGCCTTAGTATTTTTTTTTAAAGAACCCACAATTTTACTGTAATTGATTGAATTGCCTTTAGGTTGTACAACTTTACTTAAAGTTTATAAACGCGCACGGAACTTTGCCTTAAATCACTAATTTTCCCTGGAAAGTCCGGCCCTGAAGTTTTCTATGCTTACCATAATTTCTCGTAATTGATCAAATGTTCCGGTAAATTTTCTGATACATATTTATAATTCCCTGAATTTTCTAAAGTTTTCAGATTAACCATAGAATTCTCGGAATATCCCATAATTTCAATGAACTCCTTGTAAGTCACTGCAAATTTCCTCAAATTAATGGGATTTTTGTGATGTTATCTGATCGACCTCGAAGTACTCGGAACTTCACTGAGAATAACGAAACAATCTAAAAATATCTAAATTTCTTAGAAGTTCTCTGGAATTTCTTGATAATTTAGGTGCTTGCTAAAAGTTCTAGCATTTTTTTAATTAATGAAACTTTGTTGATGTTCTCTAATCAACTTAGCTAAATTTTCGAATTTTTTTAGATCTTGAAATACTCTCACATTATTCGGATGTTCCGAGGGGGATGACTCTATCTACGATGCAGGAAAGAATGTGTTTTACTGTGGCTAGCTGCACGCACACTGAGTAGATAGAAAGAAGATTGCTGACGATTCTGAAGATTTCATGCAAAAAGATGAAGTGCGATGCAAGTAGATGCGAGAAATGAAAGAAGGTTAGGTTAGGTTATCTTTATTAGCGAGACTTTCAGCCAGAGTCAATGAACAAAGATTTTTCAAAAGATTAATTCGCTAGTGTGAGATTTACGCTAGATAAAAAACAGACACTGCACTGGTTCCTTGTAGCTTCTATTGCTGAGCAGTTCCAGGAGTGAAAATCTTAAGAAAAATTAATTATTTTCATTTGGGAATATTTTAAGTTTGAAATATGCATATATGCTTTATTTTAGGAGAGCTACCGATGAAAAATATTCTTATCCGAATCCTCCTCACTATTCCGGCAAAACCTCCATAACGCAACTATAGGTACATCCCTATTACTGGAACACCTACCCTAACAGCTTTTTTTCTTTTCTTCGGTGTGTATTTTTTTCTGAAACGGCGATCCAGTTCTCTACAACATTATCTCAGACGTCATTTCAATTAGATGAGCCGTTTTCGTGCTTTGATTTATAGAAAAATTATCGAATACGCCATTTTGAAAAATCCGATGAGAGTCAAAATGGCTGAATTCCGCAACAAGCTTGGTTCATTGCCGCAGCGAACAATTATGCGAAATTTCATGCAATTCGGAGAGGGAAAAATAAAACCGATTCGATAGTTGGTGTGAAACTCAAGACCAACAATTGAAATGGCCTTAACTCTAGGGTTACCATATCAAAAACATGAAAAGGAGGACATTTCATTTGAGGTTTGTAGATTAAGGAGGACAATTATTCCTTCTCTTAACATTAAAGGAGGACAATGAGTTTTTATCAAACGATTTAATAATATGTGCGCTATCACAAAATTCATGATTTGCAAAGGTTCAATTTAGATTGTTCATAACTTGCAGTCGTTATTAATTCAATTAATCTTTTCGTTATACTTCTGAAAACTGCATCAAACTAGCCCTCATAATTAATTTTTGATACTTGGAAATTATCTAGTCTTGCTTATTTGCATGAAAACTACAGCTTTACAGCCTTAAAACCATCTGAAATTTTATAATGTACATAAATCAAGATACACGTCATCGCTGATTGAAACCGAAGTCACTGTTTGTAAAATCAGATACGTTGATTTGAATATTTATGCTTGGAATACCTAAAATCTCATAGAAACAGAACGTCAAAGTCGAAAACATGTTGGATTCAATCTGTTGTTTTATTTATTTATTTTTTATTTAATTTAATTTTTCTAATAAACGGAAGTCTGGCACTGGACCATTCCGTTGCCCACGCTGTCTGCAGTGTGCAAGTGATCCATCTCTTCACGTCCTGCATCGGTACCTTGTGCGAGTACCGAGGACCAGATGGGCCTGACCCGGATAGGTTGTTCGCCTCGATGTTCCCTGGGATCCCGCAGTGTCCGGGCATGAAGAATAGCCGCTGCTTCTGCCGAGAACACCGAACATTGTTTTGGCAGACTTCTACTCGTTGAGGAAATGTCACCAGTGATTCCCATTCCGACTCCAGCTCTCGATCTTGACCCATCCGTGTAACGATGCATGTAGTTTGGGTACAATCCGGTCAGCTCTGCTACCGATCTCCTAAGGGCTACGGAATTGTCCCCGGCTCTGAACTTCTCCTTTATCTGGCTGTCGATGTTTGGTGCGGGAGATTGCCAACTCTTATCTCCGTACCAGTGAATCTTTACCACTGAGGGGAGCTCTGCGTTGGCGATTGTACGGAGAACTCTGTCCCCCTCGGTAAGGAGGCAGTTTCTGTCGTTTCCGGCGGTATTTGCTGAAAATGTAGCGGCTTTGTTGGCAATGGCTGCATAAATGCGGTACCGGAAAGGGAGAATGCCGGCTTCGACACAGCTAGCATCGGCTGGCGTCGAGGATAGGGGACCGGAGATGATGCGCGTGTAGCTATTGTACACCGGAGCGAGTATTTGTATTGCCTTGTCGGTGGCGATGCAGGTCAGCTCGAGTCCAAACATCAGCCGGCTGTCTACGATGGCCCGGGCAACACGAAAACGTACTTCTCTGTTGTTGGACCGGTGGGTACGGGAGATTGTGCGGATGAAGATGATCCTGCTGCGACAGCTGGCCTTGACCCCTTGAAGGTGGTGGTCAAAACTGAGCGACCGATCAATGACAACCCCCAGCAGTTTCACAGTTTTCTTCAATGGGATAGCTGGATTACCGATCTTTATGGAAGGCCCGCAGACCAGATGTCAATACTGGCAAACGTGGCACCTAGCGCTCTTTTCAGCAGACAGCTGAAAACCTTTCGAAGCGGCCCATCTGGATACGGCGGAAACCCCTGCTTGGGCTCTAATCCTCGTTCGTCCCGGAGTTTGACCTGTGGCTACGATTAGAACGTCGTCTGCGTACACGAAAATGCAGATGTTCGCTGGTAACCGGTCGAAGACACTGTTCATGGCTACCAGGAACAAAGTGACAGCGATCACTGAACCTTGGGGAACGCCAGTTTCCTCGCAGAAAGTGCAGGGTTTGGTATTACCTACCGAGGCTAGTCAAGAAATTTTGGACGAAATGGATGATATGGCCGCTAAGGCGCCAGCTGACGAGTTGCTTCAGTGCCGTGGGCGTCCGTACGGTTGAAGGCTTTCGCCCGTACATGGACGCCCGCAGTACTGAAGCAACTCAATCTGTGTAGTTGTGATCCATTTGGTGAATTTTAACTTAAATTTGACAGATAGAAAATTTTCAAATAAACATGCTATTGTACCAGACTTATTTCTGGCAGACCAGGAATTAATTTTGACAAACAGAGATTTTCGAACATTGTAATTTATTTTCGAAATGTCAAATTTAAGTAAAAATTCAGAAAAAAAATGGAACGCAGTGTTACATTTGATGAATTTTCACTGATACTTCGAAAATAAATTATAATGTTTGAAGATCCCTCTGTTGTTCATCGTCCAACTTTCGAGAAATTATTTGTCAAAATTGATTCCTGGTATGTCTGAAATAAAGCAAGTTTATTTGAAAATTTTCCATCTGCCAAATTTAAGTGAAAGTTTACCAAATGGATCGCAGCCTAAATGTGCGGGGGTTGACAGCTGTAGTATACTCCTAGTCTCACCATCGAATGGTATTTGCTAGATAAGATGAGGTTAATCAAATAAGCTCTGCAAACAACGCTCTTTGAAAACAATTTTATGAATATGTAACTGGAATAAATGCAAGGATTAAAAAGGAGGACATTTTCGGGCAAAAGGAGGATGTAGAAAAATTATTGAAAAAGGAGGACATGTCCTCCTTTAGGATACCATATGGTAACCCTACTTAACTCCATGTTGTAAACAAACCCTGTAAGGCCATTTTCTCGCGAACCGAAACCTTTATTCGCAAACCTAAACCACATTCGGGTAAAGGAGAATTTCCCCTACCTGTTCATTATGTTGGTTTGCCTTTGCGGACTTCAGTTCGCGAGAAAATGGCCTTACAAGGTTTGTTTACAAAATGGAGTTAAGGCCATTTCAATTGTTGGTCTTGAACTGCTCTATAGCAAACCCCACACGCATCAATATATTGACGCGAAGGGGAATTATTGACAATAATATTGATGATGTGAATTCAGAAATATTGTCAATCTCGATATATTGACGTCAATATAGCATGTATTGACAATACGATTATTGTCAATAAAAGCAATCGTGTAGGGTTCACTTATAACAAAGAACTTACATCAATTTTTACTATTAAAAATTTATTGTTCCAATCGCCCAGTCTTCCCTTTTCCTCCCTTAAACCGAACATTTGTTGAAAACGAGTGAATAAAATCTGACCTTGTAAAAAAAAACACTTCTTCACCTGAGACTAAGGCATACTTCGATCAATATTAGAAAAAAAAAATCTTTTATTTAAACCAATTTGTTAACAGATTGACACGTTCAGAATTCAACGTCAAATTTGCTGACAAAAAAAATAAAGAATCATATTTTTCGATTACTTTTTCGAACGTATCTGCATTTGTAAACAATGCATTTGATCGACGATCAAATGCATTGTTTACAAAAGCAGATACGTCCCGTCGAAAAAGTAATCGAGATTTATCTCATTTTACACTGAAAATTTTAAGATTGTTTTCAAAACCATACCAAGAAAGTTATACCTTACTATTAGTATTTATTTTTTTGATAATTTTCGTTGAAAGGTTCCACTACAATTAAAAAGCTGCAGTATCTTTACCAAAGGCAATACATAGGGCTCAAGTTCCAAAAACTTTGATTGTTTACAATCATCAATAAAAAAAAAAGAAAAACAAGTTTTCGAAAAACTCACCCTAGACGTTTTTCCTCGTCGACCTGGGGCAAAGTCGGCGTCATCCTCGCTGTAGGTGGTGTTGGCGGCGGAAAAATTTAGCTGCTCGCTGCAATACGAATATCCGGGCACGGATGCTTCACTGGAGAGAAGTAGAAAAGAAACCGAAAAAAAAAGAAAAAACAATCAGACTACGTGGGCAAAAATAGTGTGGGCGACGACGATTCTCAACGAGGGGTCAATTTCCTGCTGAATGAGCATCCCACCCCCCATCGATTGAGTCGGATGTGTTACTAAGTATGAATATGTGTTCTCATTTGCAGTTCATTAATTTCGGGTGATCGATTGTGTCCATTGCATCCGATCGAATAATTCAAACGGAAATTCAGGATATTGGAACATATCGGAATGTCAATAACAAACGTAGGAGTCGAGATATTCAGCGTTGCCATGGTGTGTAACTGCAACGATTGCATTGTGATGAGATTAGCAAACAAACAACAATCTGCGCTCCATCTCAGCAGGCAGCGTTGCAGTTGCAGCTGCACCCGGATCGACCAACAATAGGGATTTTCTCATAGGCTACGTATGAGTCTGCTCAAGTAGGTAGCTAGTAGTGGTAGTGTAATGAGATGGAGACACCCCGTCGAGCATCTTGCATGGAAAACGCAACTTGGCAACTGTGGCGGAATGTGGGGGCTTGCCGTCCAAATACCAAAATAGGGTCAACAACCGTTGCAGATTCCGATGATGTTGTTGCTATTGCTGTTGCTGCCGGCAATTGCACTACTGTAGGTGGCCGGTAGAAGAATAGAAGGCAAGATTACAGCAACAAGATTTTGTTCTTTACGCTGCATCATGATGAGCAGTTCCAGGCAAAATAGCGAAAATGTACACACATGTTAGATTTCACCTCGCAGAATTCCATGAAACTTCGCATAATGGCTCACTAGGGGTAATGAATCAGGTTTGTGCTGAAATTCAGTCGTTTTGGCACACGCCAAAATTTTCAAAATGGTGTGTTCGATATTTACCAATAATAGCACGAAACGGCGCAGCTAATCGGAATGACGCCTGCGACAAAGTTTTAAGAAACTGGATTGCCTTTTCCGAAGAAAAGCACACTTTTAAAAAAATTAAAAACACTGTTAAAAACATATGTTTATTTGAAAGGACACAATGGACCCATCAAAATGGATCAAACTCGTAGAACATGAACTTTTAGTAAAGTTTTTGAACTTTTTTTTTCACAATTTCGGAGACAGCAAAATAAAATCGATTCGTCAGTTGGCGTGGAACTGCTCTATAGAAGAATAATTGCTTGAGCACTGTCGCTCCACGTGCATCGCGTTAGGGCATGAAGATAAGACGTTTCAGTCTGATGGTGCAACGTCAGTCAGTCGCTCTCTGGCCAGTAATGCCCCTCGGGTGTATTGTTTTGCTTTTGCATAGTACGCGCATTTCCTCATCATGGGTATTCTTTCGTTTGGAGAGCTTTGCGATTTCCAGACGAGGGTGTGTTGTGACCTTCTCGATTCTTGAGCAACGTGGAATGTTGCTCGAATGTATTTAGTTTTCAGTCAGTGATGTTATCAGGAAGTCTTAAACCCTCAAAGGCATATAGAACATAAAAATAGAATATTCGCGTCTGTCGTGTTGGGAGCTCTATCGGAAATGGCAAACAAATTTCGAATTCAAATGAAAACAGTGCGTTTTTGCTAGTCGACGATACACCGACTGACCGGCTGGCTGGGTCACATGCCAATTCCGGTGGTGGAATACTGACGGGTGGCTTTTGTCTGTGGCCACCCCAGTCCAGTCTGGGCGAGAGCGGATTAAGCTATTCTATAAAACAAATTAATATTAATTCAAGTGCTCCCCGTCTTGACTGGTCACAACACTATGTTCAGACATTTATTTTTACGTCTAGGTATGAATAACCAAATTAGAAATGTTAATATTGCTCGTGATTGATCGGGGATCTTGTCCGAAGGATTCAATACATACGTAATCCGTTGAAAATTACGTGTGTGTTGAATATCACTCAAGTTTGTTTACAAAATAAGATATGCACAAGAATTATTTGTTAGGGTAAAAACGGAATCACATGTTTGCTTAACATTGGGTCAAAGAATTCGTAATTGAGGTTTCATCGTTTGAGGTACAGTCAAATACTTTTGACTCGATATTTTTTTTTATTCACGTGGTAATAATATTTACAAAACATGACAAATCTAAAGAAATCATGATATGTGATCATTGAAAATAACTACAAAATAAAGAAAAGAAAACAATCATGTGAGATTTTTCAAATCATGTAAATATTAGTGCCACGTGCAAAATTAAAGGGATCATCGAGTCTGAGAGGATATTGAGTTACGATTGTGTAATTTTGGAAATGTACAGGCAAAAAGTGAGCGACGTAGTCTAAACGAAGCATTTTTTTGTATGAACGTTTGTATGAAAAAGTCTGTCGTTTCTAGGGCTGTGGAGTCGGATCAAAATAAACCGACTCCGACTTCTCTGATTTGAAAAAAAAAATCCGACTCCAACTCCGATTAGTTCACTTATTTAACCTGCATTAATGCATTAAGACATTACACATTGTGCTGGTCAAAATAGACCCAAACTGAAACTCTCTCCCAAAAATCCATTTTTGAACCGATTCTTGATCCATTGGCCTCAAATAAAAGATGAAGGTTCCTTAAATCGCATACTGACCAGGATTTCTCCGATTTTGCCATTTAGGCTACCTGAATCCGGTTCCGTTAGGGCACAAATGGACACTTCCAAACCTGAAAACTGACCCTGATATTTGTCGTTAAGCATCTTCAACTATGTAACTTCTCGCATGGAGTAATACAAACATAATTAGTTAAAGTACATAACTCTAGATGGGAGCTTACCGAGTCATGGAAGAATATTGAAATGCAGGAAAAGATCTCATGGCTTTAGCGTTGGATATCAGTAAGGCATTTGATACTGTAAATGTGCAGAGTTTAAGAGAAGTTTTAGATTAGTTGACGAGGTGTTATTATGTGTTAGCTGATATTTTAGGGAGAGCATAAATAAGACCCTATTTTCTTGAGGTTCTAGAAGACAAAATCTCAAAATAATGTTGCAAGGCAAAGTTCGAGTGGTAAGATATAACATTTTAATCCTTTGAACCCTGTGGAATGGCTGTATAAAATCATCACATTACAGCCACATCAACAGTAGAAAAATTCAGGGTTCAAAGGGTTAAACCATAGAGGTAACTCTAAGATTAGAAGGTCCCGAAATAATGTGCTCAACTTTTTGGCTCAGCTCTGGTACTCTCTTCGGTCCCAAGCTAATCGATTCACCCCTCGAAACATAGGAAAAACAAATAACCCCTCATTTTATCTGTCAAACTTTCATAGCGAATCAAAACAAACATTGCGTAGTACTAGAATTTCGACTAGAATGGGGTACGTTAATCGTTTGCTTGGGACCAATAGGCTAGTCAAGTAGTGAGCCAATTTAAAATCGTTACTTTCGTATTGATTGTTGGTTAAACTGCAGGAATGATTTGATTAATTCCAAGAGCATCTCTAGAAGAATTTTTAGAGTATACTAAGGAGAGTTCCAAGTGAATTTTCTTAAGATTTTAGAGTAGAACTTCAGGACAGTTATGAAATTTTTTTAATACAATTCTGAAGTGAACTGCTTGAGAATTCTAAGGACAATTTAAGCTAATTTTAATTAGAATAATTGAATGAAGCTTCAGCGAACTTTTGGAATAATCATAAAAAAATCGAAAAGAAGAGGATGAATTTTATGAATCTTTCGGGTTGTACTAGGCAGTTAAAACATACACACTTATAGGGGAAATGACGGCTTTGGCATGACAGACTATTTTCGGCAACACAAATTGAAACACTATTTTCACTGGATTTTCTTACGAAAACACTTCGCTGAATGCATGCAAACGATTCTTTATGCTTTCAGCTTCAATATGACTATATTTTTACCACTTAGAAAAAGCAATCTAGCAAGGTTTTCTTGAAATGCAACACCCGCACTACAAATTGTAGCTGATTTCGAGTTGCCGATAATAGAACAGCAGATTTACACGCAGTTCAAATGGAACGGTTGCCGAAGAAAAACTGGTTGCCGACAATACTCGCTCTCACTAGAGAAGATTGGAGCTTTGTAAAAGCGTTTCAAAACAGTTTTTGACAATTCTTTCGACTGAAATTGTTAGAGCAGCTGGCAGCAAAAGATTGTAAACAAACCAATACTGCATATGTGTGCGTTCCTTAGAGAAAAAGCCTATAGAAAGATGGTCGCTGCTTAGGTTGCCGAGAATACGTAAATTCCCCTATATGTTTACAGAAATCAGAATTTTTTACCGAAATCTCATCAGAAAAGTTAATTCTTAGGGTGCATTTTAAAAATAATTAGTAAAATTATAATTATTCTTAAAAAGGAAAAACCGGAATTCATTCGGCTTAGAGATATTTAGTGCTGCAACCAATGATCCAGGTTTTCAACCCTCATGTGATTTTATGTGTCGCCGGATTAATTTTGCATTATGGCAGATTCTGCTCCATCCCTGGTGGCATCCATAACATGTCCGGGAAATGCATTCTTCTAGTGAATAGCTTTTCGGTACGCCTAGGATACACGTGACCAATAGACTGATGCAAAATTTGACTTTTTCGCTCCACAGTGCTTAAATGGTGTCAAATCGCGTCCTGATTAGCCTCCCAAAGTTACAACTCATTTCTAGATAGAGCAGGAATTAGGGCGTAACAGCTTTTGTAAACAATTACTTCTATCGATGATTTCTAGGAATTCAAGGCACGTCCACGAAGACCAACCTAACCATCGGATAGGGGAAGTCTTTCCCTACCCGATGAGGATGTTAGTTTGCGTGGGCGAGCCTAAAATTTCTAGAAATCATCAAGAGGAATCATTGTTTACAAAAGCTGTTACGCCCTAATTCCAGTTCTATCTAGATTTGGTTGGAAACAGACTTCGCACAAGCCATTTGAAGTTAACATGTAAATTACTATGGGAAATCTCAACTTTTTGTTCATTGCCTTCCAGTCTTTTCCATATTAAGCTGCGAAATAGTTCGATAGCTATTATTATAGAAAATTTTCTCAGCTACAACTT